TAGTTCAGAGGTGTCAAACTCAAGGCGCTTAGATCTGCCCAAGGGGTCACCTTAGAAACAGCAAAGAACTGACCCGCGGTGCCTCTGCCAGTGAAAACGGAGCTCAGCAAGGTTGCATGCACCCCCCCCCCAGCTCCAGTTTCACTGGCAGAAGGCGGCTGGAGGCCTTTGCAGTTGAAAACAGAGCCTGAGACAGCCGCATACAGCCCTCCTAAGCTCCGTTTTCACTGGCAGAGGCACCGCGGGTCAGTTCTTTGCTGTTTCTAAGGTGACCCCTTGGGCAGATCTAAGCGCCTTGAGTTTGACACCTCTGAACTACGGGAACAAAGCTACAAGATTAAAAAAAAGACAACACAGTGTCTAAACCCAGGATTAGGGGTCCCTGTTTCAACTTTTAAGAACTGTATTTTGTATTCCCAATAAAGAAAAGGGACTCCAGTAATGAAGTTAATGCTTGTATAGTAATGAGGTAATTTTTGCCATTGAAGAAAGCTGTTTCAGGGATCAGAGATGGCTTGCCATTTTCAGATGGAATGTGACCCAAGCAACTTTTTCTTTGATGGAATTTTTGCTTTGTCCTATAAAATGCAGAGTTTACTTGTCTTATGAATAACTCTCTATATTGAAAAGGTCCTGCTTCAGATTCTACTGCTTTTGTAAACTCTGAGAAAGCTACAAAGTAAGCAGTGGGATTTAGAAAGTTATCTTTGCCTTGCCCCTTGTGTAATAGAAGGCATCTATTTCTTCTTCAGCTGAGTAAAATAAAAAGAAAGAAATCATGCAGTATTTCCAAATGAAAACAAATAGCTACAGTCTGATCCCTTTTGCCTGAACTAGACGTATCTTATAAAAATCAAAGTAGTGTTATTCATCCCCACCTCCTCATGTCTCCTGCTCTGTTATGTGGAGATTTGTTACCATCTAAAAATAATAATAATCAGGAAAAATATTGAAGTAGCTCAAGTCTTATATTAACTATGGGGGGAAAAAAACAATCCTGTTTTCCCTAGACCAGAGGTTTTCACACTTCTTCAAACTGGAGAACATCTTAGTTTAATTTAGTTTTAAACCCCAGAAGCCAAATCAAAAGGCAAAAGTAGAAAATTGGCTTTGTCTTAATGACCTTTTTCTCCCACTTAGTTTGTCACTGAATCATGACATCCTAAGATTCCATGGAACATAGTTTGAAAAAAAAAGGTATTAGCGTGGCTGCACAAATACCACCAAAATACTGAAAGAAACCCAACACCACTGTAACATCCAGCAAAGGAAACTAGAAGCTGCACCTGCTGAAAGAGTTTATTGGCAAGCCCAGTGCTATGAAGCCTCCATTGACTTTGAAAACAAGCTCCTCCAAAAATGGATAGAAGACTGAATGACATTTCAGAATGATACCCACAGTTACTTCAACAATAGATTTCAGTCTCCCCACAGACTCTGATAAACTCTGTGCTTCCAGGCTGGGGCACTAGAAACACCTCAGTGTTCACAGATGAATTGCAGAAAACAAAAGGCTACCTTAAACTGCCAACTACCTGGGAAACAACCATGGAAAATGGCTATTGCGAATATCTTGCTTGAAGCAACTGATTGGTTACAGTGGAAGGCAGGGGTGGGTTTCTGTACTGGTTGGTACTTGTTCGCTGGGCGTGCGTGGAAGTGTCTGGGCGGGTGAGCGGAGCCTCCTGTTATCGCCATTGCCAGTTCACCCGATCCGGGCTAAACCGGGAGCAACCACCTCTGGTAGACGTATGCATGTATGTGTGTATATATAAAACATGGCTGACTGATCATGAGCAAGGAGGAGCAATATAGTGAAGCAGAACTGAACAACTGACCAAAAACAAGCTCCATTCTTTGCTAGTTTTACAAGGAAATGGAAGTGCCAATAGTGACTATGGCCAACAACTCTGGGAAGTAAAAATGGTCTAGGCATGGCAGAATGGTGCCAAGTTCCAAAAAGTTGTACAAAAGACTATATTTCTCAACAACCCCCATTGACAGAAGTAACATTTTATACATGCAGAAATGGGGGGAGGCTTTTATTATGCAGGTGCAGCCATTATCATGATATTTTGTTTTTCCTTTCAATTTACTTGTCAAAGCTTTCAAATTGTCTTCAAAGCCAGCTTCTGTCCTTCTCATTCAGTCCTTTACATTGTGAATGGCAAATTGTTAATCACATATCAGTCTATATCTGGAAAGGCCAGTGTCTGGAGTAAGAACAGTGGATGGAATGACAAAAGTAAGCAAAGCGAAGTAAAAAAAAATGAGTAAATGAGCAGCTGGGACAACTGAAAATAGTGGTGAGTTTAGCTGCCATAAAATGTAAGTGTGTTCCTAACAGTATTCTTTATAGAGCTTTCAGTATCAATTGCTATCATTGCTGATAGCAATTTAAGATGAAGTCTTAAATGAATAGACAAGATTTAATGCACCCTTTGGTGACTATATAGCTGTGTCTGCTTTGCTCAAGAAGTTATTAAGGTGGGTTTTTTTTTGTAATGCTAGCAGTATGTTATTTTTAAAGTACACCTGAAACAAAATGGCTATATCTGAGAAGCTTAGTTTTCTTTTTAACTTCCTGGAAAAAAAAATCAGTTTCACTTGTAACTTCTGCTACAGTTTTGATAATTAAGGATAGTAAAATTGTCAGTATATTAGAAAATGCAAAAGTTGGGCTTTGTGACATCATATAGTCAAATAATTTCTCTTTTTCTTTTAGAGAATAAAAGAGAATAATTTCTCTTTCTTTTTCTCTCTGTTCCTTGATCCAACTATCCATCCATATATTTCTCCACAATAGAACACAAATACTATACAATTATTTGGGTCTTCCTGTCACTATTGGTAATGTCAAACCAAGGTTCTGAAAATAAAGTTGGGGGGGGGGACACAAAAGATTCAGGCTTCTGAAAGAAGGCGTCAACGTCGTGACAATACAATGTGCGGTCCCGACAGTCCGAGACCGCCGTTGACACTTTTGCCACTGGATGATCCAGTCAGACCTAAACCGCCCTGTAGAGACAGGGAACAGGAAGACAAAGCCTTGCTGGTCTCAGGGACATCGCAACGTCCCTGACTGATCCAAGGGAAGCACTTCAAGCTGGAGGCAAACAGACAGCCCTAGGCTGACGAAGTCGGAGATGGCTCCGGAAGGAAGGAAGTGAAAGTGAGTCCATCTGGTGAGGTTTTTTTTTCTATTCTGAGAAAGATTGCCCTAAGAAACTTTTTTTTAAAAGATAAATTAGTCCTTTAAGTAAAAGAATAAAGCGGCGAATTTAATTTTTATTGGACTGCCTTGGAAAGTTTTGTTTTTTTCTTTGTAACGATATTTTATGGATTGAAGTGACCGTAATTTTTCCTGTTTCTCCTCTTAAAGTGAACGGATTGATTTTTNTCTGTAAACCGCTTAGAGAGGGCTGAAAGCCCTATGAAGCGGTATATAAGTCTAACTGCTATTGCTATTGCTATAAAATTGTATTAATTGGTTTTATTTAAGGAGATTTTAGACTAAGGAATAATAAATGAAAAAAGAGACAGAATGAACAAACAGAACATGTAACAGCTACCTGCTAAAGAACAAGCTAGACCAGCATAAAACTGCAGGCATTGCCAAGACATATCAATGTCTATGAGCGCTTCAAAGATGGATTTCCCATTGTTGATTGTTTCTAGGGTGGCAATTTCTTCTCTTCTTTCCTGGAATCCAATACATGGCATAGAACATGCTAAGCAGTAGCAATAAGTTTTCTATTTTTATGCATCTATTAAAATGTTTAAAACATATAATAACTGAAGCTCTCTGGACAATTTACAATAAAGCATACTAAAAAAGTATAATTTGAATCAAAACATATACAATAAAATTAAAAATAAAAAGAATAAATCCTGAATAGCCTTTATACAATATGTACAAAGCTTCAAAAGAAAATTCTAAAAAAAGCTGAGCAATAGGATATTTGATTTACAAGTGCATGCATTTTACAAATGAAACAGAATATAAATGTAATACATTTTGTTACATTTGGAAACTATGATCTGCTGGATCAAGGTGAATAATTCTTTTTCAATGAATCTTGAAACATGAAAACAGCTTGTATTCAAAGCTCTGGCAAAATTACAGAAAAGCATATGCAATTAAATGTTAGTGTGCTATAACCAAATATCAGGAGTAGACAAGCTGCACGCTTCATGAGACATTTCCCTAGCACTGCTTTAAGTCTGCTGAAATTTAATGGAACAGTTTTCAGTCAACATGGCAAAATAGGGATAGGGAAAGGAAACCTCTGGAGATCCTTTCTCTGTACAAACTTCTCAAATCCAACAAAATTTTCATTAATATCCCCCCAGACATTGGAAAGCTTCTTACAGCTTGGAAACTGATCAGGAGACAGTTATAATTCCTGACTCACAATTTGCCCATTCTTGCAATATGCCATGACCGAGCATGTCCTGTGCATTCCAAATAGACCAGGTTTCTAGCATCTAGTCCAAATAAAGACACACTGATTATGGAACCAGGAATTAATAGTTATTGTATTTATTTGGGATTTTAATTTTGCAATTTATTTAAGAACGGAAAGGAAATCTTTCTCAGATGACCAAAATACTTTTCAAATGACTTTTTCTCTTTGTAGCTAATTAAATATTTTAGTATGCCTGATATTTAGAGATCTGGTGTATGGTCCTGCCTTTTCCCCCTATTCAAGAAAGCATGGTCTCTCAAAACTTTAGCATTTCAAAAGGAAACTTTTATTGAAAGGAAATAAATGCATGACAATGCAAAGCAGGGTCTGAGTTCCCCTCAGGTAATTCTGTTAGGATAAAGTGATTAGAAACCCCTCCTCTCAGTTTGATGTTGAATGAGCCAATCCACAGGTGCGAAGAAGTTGTGGAAATGGGTCATCCTGAGAAATAGAGTCATTCCTGTGAGCTTCTTCTGTGAGGCTTCCAAATGAGAGAAAACAGATGGTCCTCCCCCCTTGTACATCCCTCAAGGTAAATCAAAACACAGGGCAGAATAGGTGACAGGATAAAAGTTATAAACTAGGGAATTACAAGATACATAGGAAAACAGGATGAGAGCAATAAGTGAGTAAAAGAATCCAGGGCCCCCTCCCCGCTTGAATGACAGTTTCACAATAGAATGACATGATATGCTGCCCACCTTAAAAAAAATGAGGGGATTACGGAGGAGGAGCCAACGTCGCGACAATACATCATGCAGTCTCGACAGTCCGATACTGCCGTTGACACTATTGCCACTGGACGGTCCAGCAGGACCTAAACAGTCCCGTAGAGACAGTGAACAGGAAGACAAAGCCTTGCCGGTCTCAGGGACATTGCAAATTCCCTGATTGACCCAAGGGAAGCGCTTCAAGCCGGCAGCAAACAGGCAGCCCCCAGGCTGATGAAGTCGGAGACAGCTCCGGAAGGAAGGAAGTGAAAGAGAGTCCATCGGATGAGGTTTTTTTTTATTCTGAGAAAGATTGCCCAAAGAAACTTTTTTTAAAAGATAAATTTAAGTAAAAGAATAAAGCGGCAAATTTAATCCTTATTGGACTGCCTTGGAAAGTTTTTGTTTTTGTTTTTTCTTGTAATGATATTTTGTGGATTGAAGTGTTTCTTGTTTCTCCACTTGAAGTGAACGGATTGATTTTTCCCCCTCTATTTTTTATCACCTTATTTTTTGGCTTAAATTAAAACTCTCTTTTTTATTTTAACAAATTCTTCTTACTATTTATTATTAAATTCCACCAAAGACAACTAAAGTTTTGTTTTCTATAAGATTGAGAAAAGTATGAAAAATTTGAATCTGCCATTAGGAAGCCAGAGTCTGGAGTTCTCTCTTTGAAACAATGTATCCTTTGTTCATTCCTTTTTGATCTTAATGACTTTGTAACTGAAGGGTTTGCAACTTGCTTATATAATTTGTCAAGAGCATGAATTTTTTGCAGGTGCTCTTGGAAAATATTTTGGCAAGAGAAGGAAAGGAAAGAAAAAGATAGAACCCTTCTCCTTTGAAGAGTATAAAAGAACTTGTGCTTAAATTAACTTAAAATAATTATATATATGTACACAAAAGACGCTTGGAAGGCTAGAGTGGCAGTGGCTATCAGGCTTTTTCTTTTTTTCTCCTTCATTTTTTTGGGGGGGGGATGGATCAATATCCAGATGAGGAAACCTTAAAATTTCAAAACATCCTGGCTGGAATTCAAAATATTTTGGAAGGATTTGGGAGATTTGAGAAGAAGTTGGATAGACTATTGTTTCTCACAGCAAAAGATGATGGGGTTGGAGCCCCAAAAATTAAAGAAGAGAATGAAAATATAGAAGATAAAGACAAGACAATAGATGAACTTATTAATGGAGCAAATATGGGTGAAAGTGGGAAGAAGGGAAGATGGAAAAGTGAATTTGACAATTTTGAGCTTTATCCCAGATTTCAAGATACAGGAGAAAAAAAAAGGTGATAATGATGGAGTTAAGAAGAGAAACCTTTTCAGAAATAAGTTTAACAACCAAAGACAAGCTAATGCTAATAACAATTCAAGGGCAACGAGACTATTTGAGAGATCTTTTAAGCAATAAAGTGCAGAGAGAAGTTTATAAAAACTTTATAAAGGAGCTGAAAAGAGAATTGACACAACAACTGGCAAGAGAGACAAGACTGTTTTGCCATTGGAAAGATACAGGTTGATAATGAAAGTTGATGATAACAAGTTAGTTAATTTTTGGTAATTAATAAGTAGGGATTTTAGTATTTTGTAGATTGTTTTAGATTATCATTCAATGTTTATTTATTAACATATAATTAACTACGACAATAATGAAATGACAACACCAATTAGTAAAAGTAACTTGGTTATAAATTGTAAATTGTGACTTGGCGAAAAGTCCCATAAATTTTATTAATAAATTTTTGTTTAGATCTTGTTATAAAGGTATAATGCCTTTGGGTCTGAAGAGAGATGTGATATAAATAGTACATAATTTTGTATACAACACTCTACCCAACTGTATGCAAGCACCAATGCTCTGTCTCCTGTTTGTGGCGCTGGATCATCCCTTTCAGCCTTGTCTGGCCCATCACAGGTCCCCCTCAACATGAGCAACATTGAGCAAGCCAGGTCGAGTTGCTATGCCCACCAAGTCACACGGCCAACCAGCCACACCCACCTGGCCCTTTGAGAGTGACCATAATGCTGATCTGGCCTTCCATGAAATTGAGTTTGATACCCCTATTCTAACTGGAATATGTGCTTGGATGGTTCTGTGAGTCGTGTTTATGTGGTGCCTTCCTATTGGCTGATTGGTGTGTTGATGGCTGGCAATTGGCTGTCATTTCTTTGTGCTGCTAAGTCCTTGGTGCCTAAGTATTTGATAAGCTGGTTCATTCAGCACTCCTGTTAACTGACAAGGGGCCCATTTCCCAGGCTTCAATCACTTCCCTGGCTGTCTTTGTGCCTTCCTGCATGGCCAATGATCTTAGCTGCTGTGAAATTAAATGTGTATCTTTGTTCATTGCAATGTGAGACTACCAATGGGTTCGGTTGCCCAATCAGCCAATAGGAAGGCACAACATATACATGTCTCAGAACGGCCCAAAGCACGTATTCCAGTAGAGAAATTATCTGAAGAAATTCTCTGAAGCTCCAGCATGACTGTTAAAGCTTGGAAGAAAGGTTTGGTCCCAGTGACAGACACAAATTCAATTTTGCATTATTTCTTTTTCCTCTAGTAATTACCCCAATACATTCAAGACTTTCCTCCCTAGTATTGTGTATTTCTGTGGAAGTGTAGTACTTCCTGGCATAAAATTCAACCACCTCCCTTTTGTTAGGTCTGTTTCTTTTCAACAGTTGATACCCTTTTACTTATGTGTTCTAATCATGGGTTCTATCCCACAAAGTTTCAATAATAGTTATAATATTATAATATTATATTATATTTGCCATCATGTATTTGAATTTCAAGCTCTTCCTTTTTGTTCTCCATACTATGAGCATTGGTTATCCTGGGTTCGCTTCCTATATCTCCTAATTTGTATTTGTGCACCTCTTCACTATTCCATTTTCAAATGCAGTCCATCTGCAAATGGACAAACCCATATTCTGGACAGAGAGGACTGCTGGTTTGAAAGAGGGGTCAAAAACTCCTTGCTCTATGCAGGAAATCAAGTTAAAAATGCCAGATATATGGTCCACACATCCTGAACATATTCACTTTGTCCTGGTAATTAGCTTCAATTTCAAGTTACTTTTGCTTTTAGGAAGTGTTTTAAAACTTTCATTTAGAATCAATCTTCCTTTAATTTAAAGTTCTTGTACCACAGTTTGCAATGGCAAACTACTACACAAATCTTGGCATTCTTTTTGTGACATTCATTCAGGAATTGGTAGACTTCTCTCTTCCTGCCTCAATCATGTTTTCTGAAGGCTAAATATTTTTTTTCTTCAATCTCTTTTAATTTGGCTTAGTTTCTAGTGTTGATCATCTTTATTGGCCTTCCCAGAACCTGTTTCAGTATCTCTGAATTCATTTTAATATGTGGTGACCTGAACCTGACATATTACTTGAGCTTATTGTATGTTTGACTAAGCAAAGCAGAATGGAATAATATTATAATGATTTAGAAATTATACTTCTGTTCATAAAGCTTAAGTTTGCATTTGCTTTTTTTGCAGCCACATCCTATTGGTCGCTATTATTCTGTTTGCAACCAACTCCAGTCTGCTTTCTTATAAATGCAATTACAAAGCCAGGTATTGCTCATCCTATACATATACATTCACATTTCATAGTAAAGAATTGTATACTTTTTTCCGTTACATTTCATTCTGTTGCTGTTAGTTCATGTCTCCAACCTATCAACCTATTTTAAATCTGATTTCAGTCTTCTAGGGTTATCCCACCCAATTTGATATAAACTGCAAAACTGGAGAATTACCTCTACCTCTTCTTCCAAATCATAAATCAAAATGTTTAAGAACAGAGGATTCAGAGTGACTCTTATTTTTATGTGATCCCAGTTGAGTAACAATAGAATTTGATGGGCAACCATTGATGAGTACTCTGTGGTTATAATTTCAATCCACTTAACTGTCATGCCAACCAGACCAGACATAAATATCTTACTAATCAGTATTTTATTTGTTTGTTTGTTTATGTTTTGTATTTCTAAACTGCCCATCCCCCTCAAAAAGGGGATCTGGATAGTATATAATATAATATAACTGATAAGTCAAACAATGTAGAAAATTAACATGAAAATAAAAAAATTAAAATAGCATTTTTTAAATTGTAGAATAATGACAATTAACCATCAAGGGGGCGGGAGGGAATCCCTAAAATGGTCATTTAATGTTTGGTTTATTACAGGGACTAGCCAGTCACAGAGTTGTATGCCACCCCACCCCCCAACCAGGCTGCAGCTTTGACCCCATCTTTCCCCAAGATTTCCTTACTCTGGGAGCAGGATGTTCCACTAAGAGGAGCCATGGTAGAGAAGGCTCAATTCCTAGACCTTCAGCAGTCAAAATTCTTTGACTGACAGGTTTGTAGCATACCTTCCTTGCCTGATGAAATGAAACAGACCAATGAGATTGAGTGAAGCTGGTTCTGCAGATATCTGATCCTAGGCCATGTAGAGCTTTATAGGTGATGACCAACACCTTGAATTGAACCCAGAAGCAAATTGGTAGCCAGTGCATTATATTAGGGAATACTTTGTCTATTCTTTAGCAATTTATAATTATAAATTTATAGTTTAGCAAGAAAAATTATGTGAAAATTCTAGTCATATATAGATCATAGCTAGAAGGCAGGATAAGAAATAATGGATGGAAACTAATCAAGGAGAGAAGCAATCTGGAATTAAGGAGAAACTTCCTAACAATGAGGACAATTAACAAGTGGAACAGCTTGTCTTCAGAAGTGGTAAGTGTTTCATCACTGGAGGTTTTTAAAAAAAGACTGGAAAGCCATTTGTCCGAAATGGTACAAGGTTTCCTGCTTGAACAGGGGGCTGGACTAGAAGACCTCCAAGGTCCCTTCCAGTTCTATTCTATTCTATACCCAAGATATTTCTGGAAGAGATGCAGAAAAGGACAAACAAATTTAGTGAGTGGGAGTTTCTGTATTAGGAGCTATTTAATTTAGAAAAAAGGCAAGAAAGGGAAGTCATTATAAAAATTTATAGAATTATGAATGTTGTGAAAAGAGTACAGAAATAAGCCATTTTTCTTTCTCACAATAAATGAACTTAGAGTATCCATTTACCTTTAATAATGAAATAATGAAAGTGTGGGAAAAATGAAATGATACTTCAGGATTCATTACTAGAAGATAAGGCAATGTACCAATGGTTAATAGAGCATGAGTACATGCTATCTCCAGGATCAGAGACACCAGATGTCAGATCGCTATCCTGATACTGCCATTCAAGCGGGGAGACCCGGATTCTTTTACTCACTTATTGCTCTCATCCTGTTTTCCTATGTATCCTGTAATTCCCTAGTTTATAACTTTTACTCTGTCACCTATTCTCTCCTGTGTTTTGGTTTACCTTGAGGGATGTACAAGGGGGAAGGACCATCTGTTTTTTCTCAGTTTGGAAGCCTCACAGAAGAAACACACTCCTTATCTCTTTCTCAGGATGACCAGTTTCCACAACATCTTCGCACCTGTGGATTGACTCATTCAACATCTTCAAAAAGAGGGAAAAACAAAACTACAGAACTACAGAACAACCAGTCTAATATCAATATCCAGGAAGATACTAGAAAAGATAATAAAAAATACCAGCCAGCACGGGTTTGTTAAAAACAGATCATCCCAAACCAATCTTACTTCATTCTTCAACATAGTGACTAAATTAGTAGACCAGCAAAATACTGTGGACATAATATACTTAGACTTCCGCAAGGCACTCAACAAAGTAGACCACAACCTATTTCTTCATAAGTTAGAAAAAAGTGGGATAGACCGCTTCATCACCAGATGGATTTGCAACTGGCTGACAAATTGTATTCAACAAGTAGTCCTTAATGGGTCTAAGTCTGCAGGAAGAGAAGTGAGCAGTGGGATACCATGAGGTTCCGTCTTAGGCCCAGTACTCTTCAATATCTTCATATATGACTTAGATAAGTGAATAGAAGGGGAACTTACCAAATTTGCAGATGATACTAAGCTGGCAGGAATAGCTAACACCCTAGAAGATAGGCTCAAGATCTAGAAGAATCTTGAGACTTAAACACTCGGCCCTATCTAACAAAATGAAATTCAATGTAGAGAAAAGTAAAGTCCTACACTTAGGTAAGAAAAACCAAAAGTAAACATATAAACTGGGTGAAACCAGGCTTAATAGCAGTGACTGTGAGAGGGATCTTGGAGTCTTAGTGAACAACCAGCTAAATACGAGCCAGCAGTGTGCAGCAGCAGCCAAAAAACCCAATGCAATCCTAAATTGCATTAACAGAGGGATACAATCAAGATCAAGTGAGTTACTAATACCACTCTATAAAGCCCTAGTAAGACCACACCCAGAGTACTGCATCAATTTTAGAATTTAGAATTTTTAGAATTTTATTAGAATTTTTGGTTACCACTCTAGAAAAAGTGCAGAGGAGAGCAACGAAGTTGATTAGGGGCCTGGAAACTAAAACATATGAAGAACGGTTACAGAAATTGAGCATGGCTAGTCTAATAAAGAGAAGGACCAGGAGAGACATGATATCAGTGTTCCAATATCTGAAGGGCTGCCAGAGAGAGTAAGGGGTCAAGCTATTTTCTAAAGCACCTAAAGGCTAGACAAGGAATAATGGATAGAAACTGACCAAGGAGAGATTCGACCTAGAAATAAGAAGGAACTTTCTAACAGTGAGAACAATCAACCAATGGAACAGCTTGCCTTTGGAAGTTGTGGGAGCTTTATCACTTGAGACTTTCAAGAAGAGATTGGACTGCTATTTGTCAGAAACAGTGTAGGACCTCCTGCTTGAGGGATATGTGTGTGTGTTGTTGGACTAAATGGTCTATAAAGTCATTTCCCATCCTTCCAACTCTTAATCTGTTAAAAATCAAACTGAAAGGAGTTAACCACTTTATCCTAACGGGATTGCCTGAGGGGAACTCATTGCATTGTCTTCCATTCACTTCCTTTCAATACAACATTTCCTTTTGAAATGCTAAAGTTTTGAGAGTCCCTGCTTTCTTGAGCAGGAGGGAGAGGCAGAATCTTACAACAAGAGACTTTTAATGAATTGTTTATGGATTCTCAGACATGCAAACATCGTTCTTTAAATTGTAGGTTTCTGAACTTTACAAAACAGCATATTTTCTATCTGAACTCTTCATTTCTTATAATGTACAGTTGCTTAAGGAAAAACTAGAGTACTGAAATTAACAGATAATGTGGAGATAGGATTTGACCTGTTTCTTTAAATCAATCTATGATCTGTATGCAGCCTGAGGCTTGCATATTTTTCTTCCATGTCAAAAGTGACAAAACAGCAATCTTGACTAAAATCACCCAGATTCCTGGGAATCAACATTTATCCTATCCACTTGATATTTTCCAGGTTCCATAAAGTCGGGGTACCCCCAATACTAATAAACTTGCCAACACAACCTTACATTATTGCTTTTATATCACATACCCGGATAATTCGGGCTGCCTCCAGCAGAATGCTGCTCCGTTCCATGCCTGATTTCTGACTCCATATTTTGAAAGCAGCATGTCCACTCTTTACAGCCAGATCTACCTCCTTCTCACCAGAGAAGGGTAAGTTCCCAATTACTCTGCCTGAAGAAGAAAAAAGGCGGTTCAGTTTGCCAAAATCTATCGACAATGCTTACTTGGCAATGCTTATTAATACTATCTATTAAGCTACTTATTAAGAAGTGAAAATGACTTGATAATAAATAGCAATTCAATATTACAGCACCTTTTGCCACAATTTTAACAAATCCACATTTTAATTAAATTATTAAGTATTATAAAATAATATTTAAGGAAGGAGGGGAAGAGTAAAGGGAAGTGGGAAAGAATAGGAAAAAGAAAAGAAAAAGAATTGACTTCCGACTCTCTGATGCAGTAAAATAAAACTTCAAGTCACAACTTTTTGTTTTTCCATATTAACAAGTAATTTCTATAAAGATCTATCTGTTTAATCTGTAAAAACCCAAAGTCAACGTTACATTCTTTTCCACATCAAGCACGAAATTCAGAAGTGGTTTCCATGTGGAAACAAAAGTATTTATATTCTTGTCTTTTAGTCAGTTTTGCCATTTCAGCCAAATCCATCAACTTCCGCAACCATTCTCATGGTTGGTATGAAGGTGTTTTCCCATTTTTGTACATATAATAATCTTGCTGCTGTCAATATGTATATTAACAAAGTGCCAATTTTTTTCCACAGTTCTTTTTCCATTAGTCCCAAAAGGAAAAGTTCTGGTTTCATTTCTATCTACATTTTCAGGATTTTCTATCTGTATTAGAGTGTGAATCATACTCCAAATTTTTTTGCTTTATCGCTTTAAACAATGGTGGAAGGATATTTCTAAGTTTATGTGGCAAGGGAAAAAAACCAAGAATTAGATATAAGCTATTGCAAAATGCCAAGGAAAGAGGGTGGCTGGGCGTACCAGATATGAAATTGTATTTTGATGCGTGTTGCTTGACCTGAGCAAAAGAATGGATGAGTTTACAAAACAAAAGGTTATTTGAATTAGAGGGACATGCACTAAGGTTTGAATGGCACAGCTACTTATGGTATGACAAAAGTAAAGCTAATGTTGATTGTAATAACCATTTTGTTACAGGTGCCACACTAAGAGTTTGGAATAAATATAAAACAAGACACTCTATAAAGTTGTCTCTCTAGGTGTCGCCACAGGAAGCCTTTTTTAGAAAAGAAATGGTGGTGAAGCCAGTTTGGCTGATGTATGATAAAATTTTATCTTTCAATTCTGATGACCCATATTAAAGCCAAGGGAAGAACTTGAATCAGGAGGTTATACTTGCCATTGAAAGGTTTACATTCGATAAAAAGTGCTATGGTTTTGATTTTGTTAAAAATTAATTGGAACATTCATTATGAGATAACGATGAACATATTATTGCTAAGATTTATAGAATGTTATTGAAAATGAACTTAGAAAATGAACATGTAAAACGTAGATTCAGTGGGCAAAGAATTTTGGATATAATGTGATGCCTGAACAATATGTGGACAAAAGGTCCCAAAAGTTTCCATCCATTGTTTCTTATCTTGTGTTTTGGAAAAGAAGTTGACCCTTAGTGGCAGCCCCTCAAATATTGGAATACTATCATGTCACCCCTAATCTTTCTTTTCAATAGACTAGCTAGCCAAACCCAAATCCTGCAACTCTATCTGCTCTTTATATGTTTTAGTCTCCAGACCTTTAATCATCTTAGTTGCTTTTCTCTGCACTTTTTCCAAAGTCTCAATATTTTTTTTGTAATATGGTGACCAAAACTGGATGCAGTATTCCAGGTGTGGCCTTACTATGACTTTATAAATCAGTACTAATACCTTATGTGATTTTAATTCTATCGCTTTGTTTATACAACCAAGGATTGTATTATCTTATTTGGTTCCTGCCGCATAATGCTGGCTCATATTTAAATGATTGTCCACAAGGACTCCAGGCTTCCTCTCAGTTACTGTTTTTGAGCCAGGTTTCACCTAATCCCATGATAGCGAACCTATGGCACATGTGCTGGAAGTGGCACACAGAGCCATCTTCCCAGACACAACAGCTGTCGCCCGTTGCTCTTCCAGTTCCAGTATGCCCATGCATGCTGGTCAGCTGGTCTACGTGTGCGCGGAAGTGCCGGAAACCAGAAGAGCAGCTCCCCGGCGTCCATGTGCACACTGGGAAGCTGAGCTTCTCATTTCCTTTGCACACATACATGCTGGCCAGCTGGTCTTCATGTGCGCCAGCAACCAGAAGACCAGGTAGCTGGTGCACATTTGTGCGCCAGAAACCAGAACCTCAGCTTCCTGGCATGTGCATGCACGCACACCATGGAGCTGCTCTTCCGGTTTCCGACACTCCCCCACATGTGCACGCGCTGTCACTTTGGCACTGTCGAAAAGGTTCACCAACACTGAACTACTCAGTACTTGCAACTTTGGTTTTCTCCTGCCTAAATGTCAAACCTTGCTTTTCTCCAGATTAAATTTCATGTTGTTGGATACTGCCCATTCTTCAAGTCTGTCAAGATCCATCTGGATCTTGAGCCTATCATGTAGGCAGAGATGGCAAACTTTTTCAGCACCAGGTGCCAAAAAGGGAGTGTGCACGTGCTTTGCACTTGTGTGTGCATTCTCCACAGTTGTGTGTGCGTGCTCGCATGCGTGCTCATCAGGGCCACAAACCAGAAGAGGAGCTGCCCAGGGGACATATGCATGCCGAAAAACAAATTTCTAGTTTTCGGTGCAGACTGGTGCGCCAGCCAGCTCGTCTTCCAGTTACTGGCATGCATGCACGCACGACGATCAGCTGGCTGGCACGCACTTCCCCCCAAAATATAAGACCCAGTCTTATTTTTGGGAAAACATGGGTATCTAGGGTCACTTTATTGGAAGCCGTTTGTTCTCAATTGTGTCCAATGTGGGTGGAGTAGTTTTGTTCTTTTTGTGAGGTCATTTTTTAAGCTGTTAAACCTGTTTGCTCTGGATTGTGTTTAATTTTGGTATAGTCTTCCGATCCCTTGGCCGGCGCCCTGGATATGGCACCCATACCTCTGATGTCAAGCCATTCCACTGGTTAATTGTTAACACTATCAGAAGTTTTGGGAGTTCTGAGTTCTCTTTTTGGTCCCTTCTGTGGCAATGTTGATTTTGGCCTCTTGATATAATTTGTAATCCACAGATATATTAAAAAATGACAAATGTATAAAATTTGAAAAGGAAAACAAAATCCCAGCAGATAAACTTTGCATCCAAATAAATGCTTGAATTCCAGTTTCCTCTTCTCTCCAAGTTCAGTCTTTCTCTCCATTCACTTTTTGTTCCTGTGAGTGCAATTCTGTGCATGTTTAGGTTTCTTTTTTTTTAGGTTTTTAAACAGATTATTCAGGACAGCCCATTTCTGTATGCCTGTCTGCAGGCCTGCCATGCCCAGAAGATACAGTATTCCAGATGCAGTGTAACAGGGATTGCTTTTATATCACATGCCTGAATAATTCTATTTTGTAGAATTGCCACACTATTGATTCACATTCTTCTTATAATCCATCAGGATATCTGCATCTTTTTGCATGTCACTGTAATGTGTCCCAAATAACCTCTCTCATCCTATTTTCATGTCTTCGATTTTTTTGTACCCAAATATAGAACTCATTCCTGTTGAAATAGATTTAGCTACCATCATTCCAATTTGTCAAGATTCTCCTGAATCTTGATATTGCCTTTGTGTTTGCTGCATCTTCTAGAGTTATGTTATCAACAAATTTGGTAATTATATATTTTGTAAGGTCTTGCCTCTCCAATCTTCCCAAGAAAACAAGACTCTTGAAACTGAAGTTGTTTCAAAAGGAGCTTTTATTAAAAGGCTTGAGATAGGCAGGAACTAAATTTTCCCACTTAAAAAACAGCAATTTAAAGCAGTGCAAACAAAATCCCTCCCACAGTACAGCAATGCAGGAAACTGAAACTCACAGCACAGTGGAACAGGGGTAGTAGCTGGACGAAGGTCAGAAGTGACTTCAGGCTTCAGCAAGCTACAATGGAAAATGGGGTGGACTTGCCATAATGACTTAAGGAGTTGCAATTCCACCGTGACAGGGTTAATAATATGAACGATGGGGAAAGGCCCAATGTATTTAGGGCCCAGCTTTTTAGCCTGCTGCAAAAATTTTAGAAACATTGTGGAAAGGTAAAATTTGTCTCCCACTTTATAAGCTTCAGATTCTACTTGTTTCTTGTCCTCTTGTTCTTTATAGGCAGCCTTGGCTTCATCCAAGGCTCTGCGGACCACTGGCCAAATGGTTTGCAAATGTTTCAAGGAGGCGATTTCTGATTCACGTGAGGGTAACTCAGGCATGGCATTAAATTCTTGCCCTGTGGCCACTCTGAATGGGGTAAAACCTGTACTAGTGTGAACTGCATTATTACAGGTCACTTCTGGAAAAGGCAATAGCTTGGTCCAGTTGTCTTGCTGATATTAAATAAAACAATGCAGGTACTGTTCCAGAACTGAGTCTTTTCGTTCCATGGCCCTGTTGTTGTTGTTGTTGTTTTTACAGATGATGACTAGAACGAAGTCCTTGTTTGGTTCTGAGTAGGTCCAAAAAGGCTTTCCAGAACTTGGATGTGAATTGGACCCCTCTTTCTGAAATAATACATCATGGGGCCCCACGCAAGCAGTATATGTGGACCAAAAAATCTTGGCCATAGGGATCCTTTGGCATGGGATGAAGTAAATCTGCTTTGAAAAAAACTCTGTGACAACCAAGATCACTGTGTTTCCAGAACTCTCAGGTAATTCTACAATGAAATCCATGGAGATCTGTCTCAATGGTGCTGAAGGGTCAGCCACTGGCTTCAGTAGACTGGGTTTTTTCCTCTGCCTGTGCTTTGTGGCAGCACAAATGGAACAGCTTGCTACATAACTTTCTATGTCTTTTTTAAATGAGAGTCACCAGAATTGCCATTTTAGTAAATGTAATGTTTTTACAAAACTGGGAATTGTACTATCAAGCAGCAGGACTAGCTTGCATGAAAGAATGGATTTTATTGAGAAATACAAGATTATTGACATTGGAGTTGGCATGCTTTTTGTGGTATGATAAAAGTAGGGCACATGGCTATTTTCAAAGACATTATGTAAGGAATGGATTATT